TAAGAAGGGACAAGCCAACATAGTGGAGAAGAATGATGACATTGATGATCTTTGTGCAATGCTTTCGGAATGCAACCTAGTTGGAAATCCGAAGGAGTGGTCGATTGACTCTGGAGCCACTCGACATGTTTGTGCTGTCAAAGAAGCATTTGCGACTTACTCTACTGTTGGTCCCAAAGAAGAAATTTCCATGGGAAATAATGCAACAGCTAAGATTGAAGGTTATGGGAAGATATTCCTGAAGATGACTTTCGGCAAGGTGTTAACGCTCAACAACGTTCTTCATGTTCCTACTATTAGGAAGAATTTAGTTTCTATTCCGGTTTCGGCTTCGGATTTGGATTTGGTCAAAGATCGATTGATTGATTAATCTTTTTGGACAAAATTCTTTTCAAATAATTAATTAATTAATTAAATTAATTAATGAAAACTCAATCCGGAATAACCAATGACCCGCAACCCGATCCGATTTGGCCCGTTTTCTTTCCCGGATTATTTTAAATCCGTTTTAATTTTCCCGCAAAAATTTCTAACATCTATGGCTGTTCTGAAATAGTGTTAAACATGTTCCAACAGTTATGACTATTCTGAAAGGTTGCAAATCTTTTCAGAAACAATACCAAATTGGCTATAAATATACCTTCTAATCCCATAATATTTACTTACGAAATTTTCTGATAATCTTCTTCTTCTTCTGCACAAAAATTTCAGTGTGTTTTATAGCCTTCGAGTGATTCGCTGTTCATCGACGTTTTTGGTACCAACACTCCGGTGAGTTAAATCGTTCTATCCTGGGAGGATATATTCCAGAACCTCGGGGTACTTGAAGGGAATAATTTCCTTAAGGGCACACTGTGTATTCAGTGGGCTCGATTTGTTCCTATAACGTTTCAAAATTTATTTTGAAGTTCAAATACTGTTTTGCAGAATTTATTTCTACTAACTTTCTGTTTTTGTTTTCAGAAAGATTACTGTTTTATTTATTTACAGTAATACAGATTAATAACAGAATTTAATTATAAAAGGGTAAAAAAGACGAATGACATTTCGCTAAGGGCCTTCGTGCTTTTAATATAGTATAGATATAGATTACAAGTGCACATCCTTTCATATGTCATGATGCTTTTTGTTACGTTTAGTCACTCTCATTATTTTTTCATAAGCACATATACATTTATGTCATTGTGTGTCAGAAAAACACACACACACTATGTTAATTTCTATCACTAATATTTACATTTATCAATTGATATTAGGTGTAATCACATATCCTTAAAACCACATTATAAGTTTAATTGTTATCCAATTTTAAGGGTAAACATTAGGATTATTTTTATATTGTTTTATTCATGATTCTTTCTGTTACATGTTGTGTCATTCACGCCCGTTAACTTAATTTATTGTTGTTACTATTATTTGCTACTTGTTATTTTATCTTCACTGTTCCTTGAGCCGAGGGTCTATCTGAAACAACATCTCTATCTTTATAAGGCAAGACTAAGGTCTGTGTACACAGTACCCTCCCCAAACCCCATTTATGAAAATATATTGGGTTTGTTGTTATTGTTTTCATATAAAGTATAGTAAAGAATTAAAGGCTCAATTTATTATGAGAGATTTTTACCTTATGGTACAAAAATGTCGTAAGTGTGGTGCTTAAATGAAGGGCAAAAAGTTCACTTAGCTTTTAATGGATATTTTGGTCTTTTAATTTTGCACTTTGACCTTCAAACTTATAATATAGTATATATATA